CATCCCATCAGTTATAAAAACAACGAGTTTAGCCGACGATTGTTGTACCTTCCAATCGATGGTCGTTCATAATACCACTTTGATACGAAACAAGTTCGTATCGAGTTTGCCTACGGTTCGTTGTCTCACTCGTATCGAACGTTCATAATCCCTCTGCTGAATGGCACGACTGGTCTTCCGTACTAGAATAATGATAGATCATGCAGATAGAGCACAGAATACGACAGAAAACAGAGTATTCTGTGGTTCGAGTGATGCAAGAATTCAAACAGCCATGACTTTCTGGACAGACGTATGTTTAGATCAATTAGATCGACTTTGCTGGAGACTTCCTCGACAGTCATGAAACTAGTAGCATGCTGCTGTGCTGCTTGTTGTGATGAACAAGCCATTGACGGCTAAATGAAGTGAATAGTGTTGATATTTCTAGTGTGTTGGAGTTTTTTTCACTGTCAAAAATATAAAGGGTTAAAATGGGTGGTACCTGGCCAGGTAGCCGTGCGGACAGAGTGTCTATATTCTAATTCGCATTCGCTTGCCGGTCGTGGGTTCGATCCCCGTCGACTGCAGAAATTTTTCTGATGGCCCAAGAAAGTGTTTGGGATCACACGTTAAAAGGTAAGGCCCCCGTCATTCCTTGCTCGCACAAGACTTTCGAAGACTTTTGAGGGTTGCTCGTAAGGGGGCAACCGAATGACGGATAGAACAAATTTTAGAACAAATTTTTTTAGAACCTACTATATAAGGTGTCACCGCTTATTAACCAATAGGTTCACTACCCAAACATTCAGATTTTGTGTAGATTCAGATTTATTCATCAGAGATTTATATGGACAATACAAAATATATATAACAAGAAAAATCAATTCGTTGACCATGAATTCATTTTTTTCTCACTGAATTCTATTCTCACTTCCAGTTGAAGTATATGTTCTAAAGATATGAAAGTGTTATTCAGATAACCATATGGAAACAAAAACAGTGGTCTTTTGATCCATTCATTTATTCAAAACAATTGCTATTCGTAGGAGTATGTATGCATAGGAAAGAACCTCAGATTATATACCCACATGGGGTATATATTCATACAAATATCTACTTGATTACTATTTTCTTGTGTAACATTAAAGTATTTCTTTCCTGAATAACTTCAAATTTTTCTTTCTCAGGTTCAGGTACATGACAGGAGCAAATTCAAAGAGTTTTTGGAGGAATCAAACAATATGGTGGTAATTATCAAGTTTCTTTGTTTCACACTACTTAGCAGTGGAATATCAAAAAAAAATTTCAACAAAAGACATTAACGATATTTCTTATGTACCTATAAGTGATGAAATGGCTGAAACAATGCATGATCACTTGACATTGGAGAAAAGTTCAGGATAATGAAAAAATTACCTACTGTTTCCAATATTGATTTCTTGTTCCTTCCATGAAATTTTCAATATGTAGTGCGGTTATGATAGAAATTCAATATCATGGTTATACAGTTATGAAGCAGGAAGTGACCCTTCAGATTTGTACAATCATAATACATACAATACATTGCTTGGATACTGTGTAGTGGCATGAAACATGAAGTCCAGTCTACGACATTGAATAAGTTATAAAGTCACCAATACGCACACTGACGATTTAGATTTTCCATTCCCCAATGGATGGTGCTGGAAATGTATGTGATGAAATACATAGCAATCTTTTTGCATTTTGTAGGTATTTCTTATTTGTATTGGTGGCGGGAGAGGGGGTCTCGAATATTTGGTCAACTGCAATGAAAATGTAGTGTCAACTTGAATTTGAATCTTCAATTTTGAATCACAGATTATGGAGCTCTCAATTTAAGGGAGCCAAATATCAGTTTCTCAACTCCCATTGTGGGATTTTTGTCCTTGACTACCGTTAATAGGCCCACAACCCTCCTCCCGTGAACAAAATAGTCCCGCCGACATTTTGGGAATAAAAAATCGACATGAAGATTCAACATCATTGCCTATGTAAATGGTCTTCTTCGAGAACTCTTGTTCATCCCATAAATTGATGAAAATTCATTTTAACAATAATAAAATCAAAAACCGCTTTCATGGATTATATTATTCACAATACCACAATTGTTCCACTGATAACTACCTAGCTTTTGTTTTCAGCTCGAAGTGCATTTTTATTATAAATTGTCATGTCTGGTTAGGTTTTGTGAACATTATTAACCATTATTGTGTTCCTTCTAATTTGAAATGCGCATGCTCAACTTTTTGATCGTATTTTATACAAGTCCCATAAGAAACAATATATGATTAAGATATTAACTTGATAATATAATACATTTTACTTGATTTTTTTTGGGATTTTTTCTCATCGTTTTTATTACATAAATATATGAATATTATTTCAATATATTTGGAGTAAGGACAAATCAGATGATTTGCCCCAAAATGTCACTACGTTGAAGAATTTTCCTATCAGACAGCCTAAAAAAAATTCACTAGCTTGTCAGTGACAATTTGTATTGAAAAAAGTTTGGAGAAGAGAAATAAAGGTATACAAGAAAAAACATGAAATTTTCACTTATCTTTGGACGTTTCGAGACCGAATCTGCTTCCGTTCTCAACATTGAAATGCAAAATATTCTCTTTGGAAGTTGTGCTGCTTATAGTTTGACACTTTTCAGTGTCATACTGATGTTGGCATATGAATGAGTGATTTTAGTCTACAAATGAGTTACAGGATATTTTCATTAATTGATCTTGAATCTACCATTTTCATGTTCAGTTTTCAGTAGTGAATAATGTTCTATCTATATCAACTGAACAGGAAGCAATGCTATTGTCTCCGTTCAGAAGAATGCAAGCGGATTCCTTGATTCTTCTTTTTTGGTTGTTATCTGCCTTTCCTATGATTTTGATATTATTCCACTCTGCCATATGTTGTCCATCTTCAGTAAGGATATGTTCAGTCGATTTATCGATATGTCTTTTCTTGATATTGTACTTGTGTTTTTTACTCCTTACTGAGAGAGGTCTTTTCGTTTCACCTGTATAAGACTTTCCACAAACACAAGGTATACTATAAATACAATTGTTTGATGATTGTTCTTCATTTCTTGGCTTTGTTTGAGTTAGAATGGATCTCATTGTATTTTCAGTTTCAAACACAGTTTTCACTTGGAACTCATCACCTACAGACAGTATTCGATAATATGAGGTGATTCTAATTTGAAGGTCTTATTTTTTCATGTAGATTCCTACCCCTGCTCTCGATGTCGAAACTCCCCATGAACCTTCCCTCGAACCTGAATCCCATGTTAACCTTCATGAAAATTCCCCAGTTCCCGAATTCCCCAATATTGGTGATCATGATGAAATTGTACTGCTGAAACAAACAATAAAAAAACTGAAGGCTAGTGAACAGTACTCTAAAAACACATTATTGGAAGAAAATTTAATTCGGAAAACTATTCAAAGTCAAAATGACAAAATCAGAGGAGGAAACAATAAATTGGAAAATGTTGAAGAGGAATGTAAGAATGGAAACCCCACGGCTATTTTGGTGATAGACCAAATCAATAATTTTTGTTTAAAAAGACCCCTATGGTCAGAAATTACGATTCGAAACTGTATGTTGTGGAAATCAAAATCTTCGAAAGGTTATTATTTCGCCAAAAGTTTCCTAAGGCTTCCGTCTCGATCCACATTGGACAGATATGTGGGATGTTCGAATGACGAAATAGGATTGACAAATTTGATGAGAACGCGCTCAATGACAGAAGCTGAACAGCTAACAGATATTGAAAGAATTTTTTCCTTAGTCATAGATGATATGAAAATCAGAGAAAAAATGTCTTATGCGAAAACAGAAGATAGATTCTTTGGGTTGGACACAACAACTGATCGCCCAATTGGCGATAGACCCGTTTTGGCGAATCAATTAATGTGCTTTGTCATGCATGAGCTATCGACAAAAATTACTATCCCAGCTGGTTACATTTTTCATAGACAGTTAAATACTGAGAAATTTTATGAATTGACAATGAAGATTATTCAACAAATCCACGAGTGTTTGTTAAGGATTATACGAATCGTTACAGACAGCCATAAATCTGATGTAGCATTGTTCAGGAGATTTGGTAATGGATATTTGGTTAGTGGGGTAGAACACCCAATAATACCTCATACGGCATTATTTTTCAGTTTTGATTATAGCCACATTATAAAAAATGCAAGTAATGTAATCCTCGATAATGATATGGCGTATGAAACGTGGATTATTTCTGCCAATCACGTGGAAGAGCTTCATAATTTACAAAAAAAATTATATCTAAAACCAGTACCTTCTCTTACTCGTAAAGACGTAATGCCAAGGAATATCGAGAAAATGAACGTGGAAGGGGCTGTTCAACTATTTTCTCCCGAAGTAACTTCCAGCATTGAATACCTAGGAGAATGTCACCATGAAAACTTTTCTAATAGTGAAGCAACAATCGAATATATGAAAAATATGTGTACTTTCTCCGAACTTCCCGACGTTCAAGTCAACTCAACATACTGGGTCTTCAATAATGACTGTACCCCACGTGACCAAATTTTGAAATTGCCGCTAAGATTTGTCGTTCTCAAGTTGGTCGCAGTAAACTATCAGTAAACCAGTGTTGCCGGTAGGTGTGTAATCAATCGAGTGCCGGGAAATTCCTGCCAAGATGCATTGGTTGTTCTCCGACGAGGAATGATAATTATTCGTTCAATCTATGATTGCTACGATACACTTTGGTCCCTACGGATTTTCTGAAGATAATCAAGGACTCACTTAAGTGCAGGAAATGCAAAATAATTCATCATGAAACGTGTCACGTAATTTCCATTATTCAGATAGGCAACCCTGTACTGAACAACCACCACCTATTCATCAGCGCAGCTTACGGGTTTATTGTTTATTTCAATAACAGTCTCCAATATTTCTCTGAATCTTTCGCATTTTACCATATTCACATCGTAGAATCTGAGGTAAAAATGGTTTCCACACCTCAACAAGACGGCTTCATTTTAATGGCACACTTCCGCAGTGGTACTCGCAATCCTGATGGAAGTTGGACCTATTTCCTGCAGTCATGCATTGAGCAGTTTTCTGAGGCTTTTCCAGAAGTCGATATCGACTATGATGGTTTCAAACATCACAAGCTCAACCTTGTTCAGAGATTCGAAAATAAACATTGTATCTGCAAGGGAAAGTCAACTGGAAGACCATCTGTTTCAACAGAAGATGTTGTTGAAGACATTAGAAGACGAGTGGAACAAAGTCCTAAGAAATCCATTGCGAAGTTATCTGTTCAAACAGGTTGGTAGGCATATTCCTCAAATGTAACTTCATGAATATCAAAAATTGAAAAAAATTCAAGCTTTCCAGACATTTCATGGGGTTTGAAGATCTTGCTGTGAAATTTCAACCCAGAGACAATAAAAATTTACATATGCATCCTTACAAAATATCAGTGGTTCAGCAGTAACATCTACCTGATTATAACTCACGGGTACAGTATTGTCAATGGTTCAATCAGAATATGAATGACAATGATTTACTGGAATTAACCTTCTTTTCTGATGAAGCATGGGTACATCTTGATATGTGAATAGCCAGAATTATCGAACATGGGCAACACGAATTCATAAAAACACCTCTACATCCCCAAAAAATTGGTGTTTCAAGAAGAAGAATACTTGGGCCTATTTTCTTCAGGGAGACAATAACAGGTGCAGGATATCGTGTTATTTTAGAAGAAGCTTTTGAACAAATGCATGATGATGAAATTCAAATGGGCTATTTCCAACAAGATGGAGGTACAGCACATACCGCAAACGAAACCATTCGGTTTTGGGAGGAATTTGATGGAAACCGGATAATTAGCAGAGGTTTGTGGCCACCCCGCAGCCCGGATCTAACACCTCTAGATTTTTATTTGTTTGGTCGAATGAAAAACAACATTTTCAAAAATAGAATTCACATGCTAGCGCAGCTACAGGCAGCAATTATTGAAGAGGTGGGAAGTATCACACAAAATGAACTTCAGCGTGTTTTCGATTGTATGAAACGCAGAGTCAATTTATGTATGGATAGTGAAGGTGGGCATATTGAACATTCATTGTAATTCAATCTAGAATTGTCATTTTCAGAATCAGAAGCATTCAATGAATAGCTGGTGTATAATTCCTGTCTGGTTTTTATTCGGATTCCGAAACTATCATTCATGAAATGATTTTTTCCTCTAAACATTTGTGGGCATAATGAACATTGACTGTATTTCAGTTTAGAATTGTCATTTAGAGAATTCAAAGCGTTCAATTCATTGCAAGTGTATTATTCCTGTCTGGTTTTTTTTTCCAAAATTATTATTGATAAAATAATATTTTCCTCATTTCCTCTAACATTTTTGGGTATAATGAACATTGACTGTATTTCAATTAGGAATTGTCATTTAGAGAAAATAAAGCGTTCAATTCATCGCAGGTGTATTATTCCTGTCTGGTTCCCATTTGGATATCAAGATCATTATCGATGTTATTTTTTTCTTCTCTAAACATTTTTTGCAATTGTTGCCCAATTTTAAATTTAATTTCCTACGGCACTGCTTTCCACCAAATCCATGATAGGGATATTTGACTTCCACTGCTGCCAACAGTGCAACTTTGGTTGCCTAAATATTTTGGTCACGTGGGGTACAGTCATTTATGAAGATCCGGTACCCAGATAGCACAGGACGTCCCAAGGACGTCCATTTCATGTCCTAGTTATGTCCGAACGTCCCAGTATCTATTTTGGACGTCCTGAGGACGTACGTCGCCAACGTTCTTGGGACGTACGATGAGAAACGTTTTCAGGACGTACAAATCAGGTCCCAATCTATATTCATATCATCTGTAATTATATTGCATTAGAAATCGATTGTCACGTATTCTGTGAATGTCAATCGAGGTTGAATCCGATTTTGTGCATGATTTCGAATGATGTAAGCAGATAGGTATATACCTATAATGTAGAGAGATGATATATATTTTATGGAAGTAATATATTTTATATTCGCTCACACCGCTTTCCACTGGGATGAATTAATGATGCACTCAGTGCGTGTATGTATTTCCTTACTAATAATATTACATTGTGTGATACGATATACGCGTTTTGTGCCATGACTGCCGTGTGTGCGCACGAAGTCGAACAACCACCATGATTTTCGGTACCTATCCATGCATTCTTAGACCAATCAGAAGTCGTCAATTCGAATTTTCGTATCGTATTTTTATTCCTTCAATTAAGTTGATGGACGTTTAATATTATGATTGACTATTTGAATGATGTTTTTTTATACTCTTTTTGTTTGTATATACAGCATAAGAATAGCATAGTTCATTATATGATTTAAATTGACCGCCGTAGTTAGCATCGTTTTTATTGGTCTACCAAAATTGCATTTGTACCGAAAGTCATGGTCATTCAAATTCTTGCCGTGTGAGCGCGCGATTGCGACTGCGCGTTTTGCTTGAGTCACGTGATGCGTCCTCTCCGTTCTCGGCGTTCTCGCAATTCTCGCATTTTTTTGACCGCCATCCGCCATTATTGTGTATGGTATTTCATGTTCATTCCATGAAAGCGGTAAACTGTGGTTCCTTTAATTCATTAATATTGAATAAAAAACGTTCCATGTTTTCCATTCAATGTTAACTGCATTGAAATGTGACATGTTGGAATTGCTTCCTGCATTATAGAGTGTATGGTGAACTTGTTTTATCCACAGTAGCGTCATTATTCCAAAATCCAAACGAGAATAAGAAGAAGATTATCATTGATTCCAACGATTCCAACCTATACTAGCTTTGGGGTAAGTCGATATATTCGTTGAAAAATGGCAGATAATAGGGTGAATCTTCATAAATATTACATGCAAGCTAAGAGAATAAATAAACATAATATCTTGCATCATCCTTACAACAATACTGATGTGGTCGTAAGTTCAGAGCAACCTGGAACTTCATATATTCATGCACAACAAAATCCTCATCCAACTACTGAGTCCATTGCAATTTCATATTTCACAGATTTTGATGAATCTGATAATGAAGTCCCCATCTCGAAGAAAATTGATTCATCGTTTGAAGTAAACCCGAGAGAAAACCTCGAAATTGATCCTCATACTAATGAAAATCATAATTTTTGTAACACCCAATCAATAATATCTGAAGATGAGTATGCCAGGCCTATTGAATTACAATTGAAAGAGTGGGCTTTGAGCCACAAAATATCTCATGTTGCCATAAATGACTTGTTGAAAATTTTAAAAAATAGTAATCCTCAGTTGCCATCTGATGCTAGGACTCTTTTAGGAACTTGTCGAGATGTAATTACCAAGCCAGTAGAACCTGGACAATACTATCATTTTGGATTAGAGCATTGTATTGAAAAATTATGGATTCGTTCTTCTAATTGTTATCAACATTCTGATTCTATTATTATTTCAATCAATATTGATGGGTTACCACTATCGAAGAGCTCAAGTAGTCAAGTCTATCCTATTTTGTGTAGTTTATCAGAAAACAGAAATATTGTTGACATAATCGGAATTTATCATGGGTATGAAAAACCAAAGGATGCTAATAATTTTTTACAGGACTTTGTTGATGATGCAATTGATGTTATATATCATGGTTTATTTATCAATGGAAAAAAATATAATGTTAAAATTGGTTCATTTATATGTGATGCACCTGCCAAGTCTTACATAACTTTCACCAAAGGCCACTCTGGTTATGCATCTTGCACCAAATGTCAAATTGAAGGCAGTTATATTGATAATAGAATCTGTTTTCCACAAACCAACAATCTATGTGCTAGAAATGATGTTGATTTTAGGTTGAAATCACAAGAATCTCATCATAATGGTACCTCAATTATTGAAAATATTCCTGGTGTTGATATGATTCACTCTTTTCCTTTAGATTACATGCATCTGATCTGTCTTGGAGTAGTAAAAAAGTTATTAGTTTCTTTGTGGTGTTGTGGTAAACCAGCTTCTAAAATATCTTTCCAAAACGATCGAATCATAATTATCATAACTTTTCAGGATCTGCTGAAACAGCCAAGATTTCTGAAAATTTTAGACAAACTGAGCTAGCAATTCAGTCATGGCTCAAGAGAGCAAGTGAAAGGGTCCTCCAGGAGAATCGGCAAGCAAAAAAGTTTTGATGTCTAATGAAATATTATGTTAACTATAAATATAAATTATATTCATGTACCTGCTTACTTTAAATTTGTATAAAATACATATATAAATATAAATTGTTATATACCAACTATAAATTTGTATAGCATACAGATATAAATGATGTTGTATAACAACTATATATGTATCAATAATTCACATATGTTCGGTATAATAAATGTTCCTATGAGAAAATGCTTGTTTTTATATTATGTTTGGGTTGAAAGGCACCCCTAATAAAACAATCTTCTTGAGAACATTCGGGGAAGGTCTGTAATGAATGTCCCCGAGACATCCCGAGAACGTCCATAACAACCTATACAAGGACCTATTATGGACGTCCCCAGGACGGACCGTTTTGTAACATCGAACCTCCTCAGGACGTCCTTGGGACGTCGACCGACCAAAAATGGACGTCCTTGGGACGTCCCGAATGTCCCAGATCGACGTCCTGCGAACGTTCTCAGGACGTCCTTGTGTTATCTGGGTATAAGACAAAATAAGGATCCGTTATCTGCCCCTTACATGAATATAGATGACGAGAGACTCGAGTGACTTAGTGAAGATGTTCCTTGCTATGTCAAAAGTATCCAAGAATGTTCCAAGAAAATTGGTGCGGAAGCGATGATTTTACTTCGGAAAGTACCGTCAAAACAATCTGGTATTTATTTAATAATGGATTTTTTTCATGTTCTTACAAAATAGATTCTGATACTGTTGAGGCACTTTTCAGCCAAGGGTTTCAAGATACTACTGATGCTCGAGCCGCGCATTATGCTCTAAGAAGAATTATTGAAAGCGGAGTAACAAAGTCAGGTGAAGGAGCGAACTCAAAATCTCAAGACATATTGTTTATACATTGAGTGAACTCAAAGCTGACTTTGATAATCTTAGGATGTACGGAATATCATCTGCTTCGGTGGCGATGATATCTGGATACATACTAAGAACTATTGAGGAGAGAGTGGAATGTCAAGCGTGTTTAAACCAAATATCTACTCATAGGAATGATAATGTTCTTCTGGGGCAGATATATCTGCAAGATCGAGGTGGTCTCAAAAATCCCAGAAGAGAATTTGTTCATATCGTGAATATTCTTTCGAAAGTGTTGATTGAAATTCTCTAAATCATACCTTGTAAGCAAATCCAAGAAAGATTTTAAAGCAAATTATTCTCCCACATTTGTTGGAATGCAAGTAAGCGTTTTGTGAACTTCACAGGGAATTTAATAGCAATTTGATTTTGGAGAAACTTTCAAATCCTCTTTTGGCAAGTATAGGGAATACTGAAATAAATGATGCATTCAACTCATTTACGATTGATTGAAAGCCATAATCGAAAAAAATTATCGAAATGACATAATTCCAAATATTACAGTTTTACAGTGTGAAATTAATCCATATTTGATAACTGAAATTGATTGAGATTTTACTTCAATCAAATGAACATGTACAAAAAAAATTAAATCAAAAGCAACTCTCTGTTGAAAAATAATCTAAAAAAATAGATACCTACACCAATTGAATTTAACAGATAGTATCTACTCATACAAAAATGCAATAATGAATGAAAATGTATTGAACATGAAGAGAAATTGTACTAAAAAAACAACAATATTTACAGGATGATATAATGAAAGCGTTTGTCAGGAGTACTGTTATATCATAATATATCATAATCAGGAACAGCTTGAAATATTTCAGACCACTATCGCCGATCACTTTTTGAAGAAAATGATCTCCGATATGTAGGTGGAAAGCTAATCTGGTAATTCCATTGATATTTCCTCTTATTTTCCATTCTTTTTCGTATTATTAGAATATTAGTTAGTAGTTATAGTTGTTATTGTAGTGAATAGTGTTGATATTTATAGTGTGTTGAACTTTCTTATATAAAAAATAATATAATAATATGAAAAATATATAAAGGGTTATAGTGGGTGGTACCTACTGTACGTATAAGGTGTCACCCCTTATGAAGCAATAGGTTTATTACCCAAACATCTAGATCTTGTGTAGATTCAGATTTATTTATCAGAAATATATATAACAAAAAAAATCAATTTATTGACCATGAATTCCATTTTTTTCACTGAATTCTGTTCTCACTTCCAGTTGAAGTATATGTTCTGAAGAAATAATAGTGTTATTCAGATTACCATATAAAAAAAATCTAGTGGTGTTTCGATCTATTCATTTATTCAAAACAATTACTATTGGTAGGAGTATGTATGCATAGGAAGGTACCTACCTCAGATTATATACCCACATGGGGTATATTTTCATACAAATATCTTCTTGAATACTTTTTTTTATAACATTCGAGTATTTTTTTTATGCATATTTCTTTTGATTTTTCTTCCTCAGGTTCAGGTACATGAAAGGAGCAGATTCAAAGAGTTTTTGGAGGAATCAAACAATATCTCCTTAGTGGTAAATATAAAGTTTTTTTGTTTCACACTAGCAGTGGAATATCAGGAATTTTTTTCAACAAAAGACTGTCACGATATAATAGATGGTTTGTCCATCTACATCGATTTAAAAGGGGTTTGCTTGGCTTAATAGTTTGCGAGAGGTAATATTCGAATAGGCACTAATAGTTTAGGAGTAACTGAAAGTACGAGACTATATTCAGAGATAACAATATGTATTGATGCATGAAACATTATGAGTAGCAATGGCAAATATGAATAACCAACAATGAATATAACAACTTACATTATAATGACCATTACGACGAGCTCTTGTCAAATCAAGAATAGCCCCAGACCAGACTAACTTCAAAACCCTCACATCCAATATTTATATACATCAATTTATTTGATTCGCACGTTTCTCATGAGAGTTCCGTGGTCAGTTTTCATAACTCAATATCCACGAATGATTTGATTAACTTTATGTTCATGAAACCCTCATGACATTATGTACCTATCAGTAATGGAATGGCTAAAACAGTGCATGATCACTTGACATTGAAGAAAAGTTCAGGATAATAAAAAAGTACCGACTGTTTCCAATATTGATTTCTTGTTCCTTCCATGAAATTTTCAATATGTAGGGCGGTTATGATTGAAATTCAATATCATGGTTATACAGTTATGAAGCAGAAAGTGACCCTTCAAATTTGTACAATCATAATACATACAATACATTGCTTGGATACTGTGTAGTGGCATGAAACATGAAGTCCAGTCTACATTGAATAAGTTATAAAGTCACCAATACGCACACTAAATTCAGATTCTCCATTCCCTAGTGGATGGTGCTGGAAATGTATGTGATGAAATACAGAGCAATCCATTTGCAAAAAATCGAAAATTTATTCTTTCATTGTGGAGAATAGTTTGTGTGGCTACTTTTCATTGGGACATCCTCTATTGTATATATAGTGAGGTTCTAGGTATGGATGAGTTGAACGAATTTTTTTTCATTTCAATTTACCAATTTTCAGAAGAATACCAAATTCGTTTCAATGTTATTGCAACATTTTGTAGAGATTTCCCATTTGCATTGGCGGCGGAAGAGGGGGTCTAGAATATTCGATCAACTGCAATGAAAATGTAATGTCAACTCGAATTTGAATCTTCAATTTCGAATCACAGATTATGAAGCTCCCAACTTAAGGGAGGCAAATATCAGTTTCTCAACCTCCCATTGTGGGATTTTTGTCCTTGCCTACCGTTCATAGGCCTACAACCCTTCTCCCGTGAATAAAATCGTTCCGCCGTCATTTTGGGAATGAAAAATCGACATGAAGATTCAACATCATTGCCTATGTAGATAGTATTCTTCGGAAACTCTTGTTCATTCTATAAATTAATAAAAATCAACTTCAACAATAATAAAATCATTGTGAACATTATCAACCTTTATTGTGTTTCTTCTGATTTCACATGCGCATGCTCAACTTTTTAATCGTATTTTATACTAGTCCCATAAAAAAACTATATATGATCAAGATATCAACTTGATAATATAAGCTGATTCTTATTTGGAGATCTTATTGTTTCATGTAGATTCCTACCCCTGCTCTCGATGTCGAAGCTTCCCATGAACCTTCCCTCGAACCTGAATCCCATGTTAACCTTCATGAAAATTCCCCAGTTTCCGGATTCCCGAATGTTGGTGATCATGATGGATGAAATTGTACTGCTGAAGCAGACGATAAAAAAACTGAAGGCTAGTGGACAGTACACATTATTGAAGAAAAAATCTTCAAAGCCAAATTGAGAAACTCAGAGACGAAAATATAAAATTGAAAAATTCAGAAGAGGAACGGCACCAAATCAATAATTGTTGCAAAAAAGACCCCTATGGTCAGAAATTACGATTTGAAACTGTATGTTGTGAAAATCAAAATCTCTGGAAGGTTATTATTTCGACAAAAGTTTCCTAAGGCTTCCGGCTCGATCCACATTGGACAGATATGTAGGATGTTCGAATGAGGAGATAGGGTTGACGAATTTGATAAGAACGCGCTTAATGACAGAAGATGAACAGCTGAGAGATATTGAATGAGTTTTTTCCTTAGTCATAGATGATATGAAAATCAGAGAAAAACTGTCCTATGCGAAAAAAGAAGATAGATACTTTGGGTTGAACAACTGATCGCCCAATTGCGATAGACCCGTTTTGACGAATCAATTGATGTGCTATGTCATGCATGGGCTATCGCTGGATACTTTTTCCATAGACAGTTGAATACTAAAAATTTTATGAATTGACAATGGAGATTATTCAGCAAATCCACGAGTGTGAGTTCAGGATTCTACGAATCGTTACAGACAACCATAAATCTAATGTAGCATTGTTTCAGAGATTTGGCAATGGATATTTGGTTAGTGAAGTAGAACACCCAATAATACCTCATACGCCATTATTTTTCAGTTTTGATTATTGCCACAATATAAAAAATGCAAGAAATGTAATCCTCAATATTGATATGGCGTATGAAACGTGGATTATTTCTGTCAATTACGTGGAAGGGCTTCATAATTTACAAAAAAAAATTATATCTAAAACCAGTACCTTTTCTTACTCGTAAGGACGTAATGCCAAGCAATATCGAGAGAATGAACGTGGAAGGGGCTGTTCAACTATTTTCTCCCGAAGTAACTTCCAGCATTGAATACCTAGGAGAATGGAACTATGAAAACTTTTCTGATAGTGAAGCAACAATCGAGTGTATGAAAAATATGTATACTTTCTTCAAACTTCTCGACGTTCAAGTCAACTCAACAAATAAGACAAAATAAGGATCCGTTATCTGCCCCTTACATGGATATAGATGACGAAAGACTCGAGTGGCTTAGTAAGGATGTTCCTTGCTATGTCAAAAGTATCCAAGAATGTTCCTGAAAAATTGGTGCGGAAACGATGATCTCACTTCGGAAAGTACCGCCAAAATGATCTGGTATTTATTTAATAATGGATTTTTTTTATGTTCAAACAAGAAGAATGAATCCCAAGACATTTATACATTGAGTGAACTCAAAGCTGACTTTGATAATCTTGGACTGTACGGAATATCATCTGCTTTGGTGGCGATGATATCTGGATACATACTAAGTGGAATGTCGAGCGTGTTTGAACCAAATTTCTACTCATAGGAATTATAATGTTCTTCTGGGGCAGATATATCTGCAAGATAGAGGTGGTCTCAAAAATCCCAGCAGAGAATTTGTTCATATAGTGAATATTCTTCCGAAAGTGTTGATTGAAAGTTTCAAAATCATACCTCGTAATGCAAATCCAAGAGAGATTTTGAAGCAAATTATTCTCCCACATTTGTTGAAATGCGAGTTAGCGTTTTGTGAACTTCACAGGGAATTTATCAGCAATTTGATTTTGGAGAAACTTTCAAATCCTCTTTTGGCAAGTAAAGGGAATACTAAAATAAATAATGGATTCAACAAATTTCTGGTTGATCGGCCATTATCGAAAAAATGATCCAAATGACACAATTCCAAACAGTTTTACAGTGAGGAATTCATCCATAATCGATAACTGAAATTGATTGAGATTTTACGTTAATCAAATGAACATGTTAAAGAAAATGAAATTAAAAGCAACTCTCTGTTGAAAAATAATCTGAAAGAATAGATACCTACACCCATCGAATTGAACAGATATTATTTACTCATACAAAAATGCAATAATAAATGAAAATGTATCGAACATTGAAGAGAAATTCTACTGAAAAAATAACAATATTAGAGAGATATTGCTGTGAAAAATCCTGGGCGGCGTTATTACCGCAGACATTATAGTGACAGTTGAGCATGCGCAGAATGAACTCGAGAGACACGTTGCGGTAATACCGTTAGCGCATCACGTTAGAATTACACTATACGTTAAACGTTGATCGACCATAAAACGCGAAATAAATAATAAATTTATTGTTTTGTGAAAGTGTCGTTATTTGGGGTTATGTTTTATGTTTACTTCTGTTTTGTTTTTGTATGTAATGAATTTATGGCAACGATTTATACTGAAAATAATAAACTGTTTAATTTGTGGTTGATTTGTGGTAAACGATGAGCCATACGAAGAGGTTGCGATTTAATTCGGATGATGATTAATGCCTCTTACGTGAAGTTGTTAGTCAAAGTCCACTTCAACATCCAGAGAAGTGGAACATAGTACAGGCTAACATTAGGTCTGTAACAGGAAAAGAATTCCTTACAAGAACACTAAAAGACCATCTGATGCTTCTTCTGACTCTATTTATGAAAAAAAAACAGATGGAGATAAATTCAAGTACGTTGCATTATTATTAAAATTATATTTCATTGTCTCAGGTTGAGATCACATTCCATTGTTTTTTAGAAGTGGCACTGAAGAAGTCTTCACCGAAAAAGACGTTTCATTACAAGAAATAAGAGACCTTTGTGATGAATTTCAGCTAATGCCAGTCACTAAGAAAAAGGAAGTCTTGTCCAAAGGAAAGCAAATTGCTGCATTAGGCCGGCAGAATAGGGAAAATGATGCTGTCAATGCAATCAAAGAGAACAATAATAACTGTAATGAACCTGAAGAAAACATCATTATCACTCTGGAGGAACATGATTATTTTGGTAATTATTGAGTGAAGTTTCATGAGTCACAATGAATTTAAACCTAGTCAATTTAAAATGTATTATTTCTTTGATTTAGATCCCAATTCATCTCATCTTAATTCAGCTGATGTGAATTGTGCATCCATCCAGGTTCCCAGTCTAAACACGACAAGTTCTGCTGAGACAAGTGATGTTCCTCAAGCAACACAAAATACACCTATAGCAAAAAAAAACTTGAGGTCAGTAAGCTGTTTCTCCTATGGTATTTTTCAGGTGAAAATGTAATAATTATAATGTAGTGAAAATGTAATTTTTATATAGGTTTTTCAATATAGGTATATGAATCCACCTTTTATTTCTGTTAGTAAGAAGTATACCTATAATATAATCTTGTGATCTTTCAGAACCTGGACCAGTCAAGAAAACCAGGATCGACAAAAGTGTGATCTTGAGAAAAAATGCCATGGAATACTTGACAAAGAAAAATGAGAAAGATCAGGAGTTAAGGTTGAAGGAGTTGCAGTTGCAAGAAGAAAAATATAAACTTGAGGCAAGAAAAATACAAATTGAAGAAATGAGACTGGAGTTGGAGATTGAAGATAGGAAGAAACAAAAAGAAATTGAATATGAAAAATTAAAACTAGATTTCAAGCAAAAAACTGAGCTGCACACACATATAGCATCCATCACAACAAAAAACTAATAGATACTCTATTGAATAGATTGCAGAGATATGAAGACTGATGAAGTTTCAAGTGTTGGAAAACATGTTCCTTGTTCCTCTTGTTCAAAGTTTTGTTCCTTTTTATGTGATACAAATATATATTTAGTTTATTTTATATGTGATGTGTTACTGTTCTTTTTGCACATGTGATATTATGATAAGTTTCATTCTTTGGTTTACTGAAATATATTTTTTGTTACTTCTTCATATGAAAAAACACTTTGAAAAGTTACAGGTAGCTTTGAAGTTACCTATACCTTTCACTTATAGCAGTTTCAAATATTCAATATAGGTATAATAATTGAATCAACATTTCATATGGGAAATGAGGTGATCAATATCGAAAAAAATATTTAGAAAATTTTGAAGTTCAAAAGTCCAAATTACTGATCAACCACAAGAGAATAAAATAAAGATAAAAAGTTCTGACTGTGACAGACACAATCCATGTACATGTGAAACAATAGATAAGACCACAACCATGAAATACTTAGGTATTATACTAGACCAGCAACTTAAATGGGATGAACATGCAAATCATATTACAAAAAGATTGAGAAAACTTATTCACACGTTCTATAGCCTAAGAGACATCCTTGATAGAAAAAATTTAATAATATGTTATATTTCTTTGGCTGAGTCTGTGATAAGGTATTGTATAACAGCATGGGGTGGATCATTTCACGGTATATTGAACGGTTTGCAAACTGTACAAAACACTTTATTGAAAATTATATTTAAAAAAAGCAGATTACACTCAACTGAATCGTTATACAAAGAAACGGGATTGCTTAACATCAGATCTACATATACTTTCCAATGTCTAATATGGATCTACTCAAATATGGGAAAATTTCAAGAATCCAAATCCAAATTGAGTAGATTCACAACTACGCTGAAACTCCCACTGTTCCACAAGACTCGTACAAAGAGATTCATTTTTTTACGGGCCAAAATTATATAACATGATGCCAGTGCATTTGAAAAAAATTAATAACCTACATAAATTCAAAAAAATGCTAAAAATTCACCTCACTGAAAATGCTTCGATAATCAATAATATATTTTGAACCTGAAGTAGTCAAAATTAATTCACTCGGAATATCCTCTCTCTCTCTCTCTCTCTCTTTCTCTCTTTAATTGCACGTGTATATATTATCATTCTATTCGAAACACAAACGTGATTGTTTCTTCCTCCGTCCTCTACTCATTCCATTGACCACATTTCTGTTGTCTAATACCTACTCGATGAAATGCATTCGTTTCAAATTTAGGGATTGGACACATTACAAGCATATACTTATGCTTATGTGTAATCCTCGTAATTTGAACGATTTTAATATCAATAATGTACAATATGTAAATTTTGTTGTTTGTTATGGAATTATGAATAAATTGAAATTGAAAAAAAAATAAAAAATTATTAAATTATTATTTTTATAGTCTACAAAAAATTCTGAATACTACATTATTTCATGTATATTGCTTAATATCCATAAATAATATGGGACTGAAAATAAAGACAAAATATAGATAGGTAAATTCATTATTTATTGATTTTCTAAGTATTCTTCTAGCGTAGGTGGTACAACATGAATGAATTGACTTATCTGACTGCCATATAAAGTTGTGTGGCAATTGTTTAAAATTATACTAACTTTGAACATACTCTGTAAATCTTGTAGAAGTAATTTTTGATTTGTTTTGAGGTCTCTGAAAGCAAACTGAGTTACAACTTTTTGAAACCCCCACTCAACAGCTACTCTCACTGCACTCATAGACTCATTAAAATGTTGCTGATAAATTGGAATACCTTGTCGATTTGGAAAAGGACACAAGAGTAAATCCATAATGGGATAGGCGTGATCACCATATAAAACAAATTGTTGGTTATTGGGAAATACTGCAATATCTTGCAGTTCTGCATACAAATTTGATTCCCTGAAAATACCAGCATCATGTCTTCGCCCCATGTATGCACCTTTTGAACTGACAATCATGCCATCTGGGCACAAAACTGACTGGTATTTGAGACAATGAAACCTCTTGTGACCTGAATAGTACTGTTCT